TTGGGGGCGGGTTCGGCGGCGCCTTCGTGTGCGCCGCTGAGGCAGAGGGCACCGTCGCCGGTAGGAGAGCTGGCGGCACGGTGTGGCTTTGTGAGATAGGCCCGGGCCTCGCCCCGCCTGGCACGGTGAAGGCTCCGACAGACCCCCCCGGGAAGGCCGCGGGCGGCAAGCGGCCACCTCCGGGCAGCGAGCGGGAAAAAACGTTTGTGAACCTGTCAGCAGGGAAGCGTGAGCTCGAGAATCACAAAACCGCGTTAACAGAAAATATTTTCCAGTCCCCGAGACTGCATCAGCTTTGAACTGCGCGGCCTGCTTCTCAAAAAGCCCGAAGCTTCTGCCTTGTCCTCTGCTTCCAGCGCCCCTGTTGTCACGGCCCCTGCCGAGCTCCGCGGCAAGCACTGGCAACGCTGCTGCCGCCTCTCCCTTAGTGAACCCTGGCAAGGCCACCCAGCTTAGAGGGCTTCAGCCACCTGACCCTCCCAAGCAAAACCCTTTAAGCATCTTTAATTTAAGAGATTTTATGATTTCAAAACAAAGATAAAGTTAGCCCGCTGAGCTGTTGGTATGCTTTAACCTTTGCTATATTGCACAGGACCGAAGAGATAACTGAGGCCAGCAGCTGGTGGAAGCACGGTGACTGGAACCTAGTGTCTGATGTTCCAGCCTAGCAAGGCTTGCTCAAACAAGTTTTACTGCGTGTAGCATAGAAAAAGGTTCTTAAAACCATCCTGCACAGAGAAGGCACCTTCATATCTGGGTTTCTCCAAGGAGTCAGTTGTGGGAAATGCTTCCCTGCGCCTAAATTTCTACACTAGTTTCAAGAATGTGGTACAAGGAATACAAACTAAAAAAATCCAGGTCTGTACCTCAAAACATTACATGCTATTACATAAAATGGTGTAGCTGCAAATCAGAGTTACGATTTTAATGATAACAAAAGGCTTCTGCATAACTTCACTCTTCTTCACAAGCTGTAACAGGTGAAATAGATATAATCCAAGTTTTGCATCATCAAGAGAATTAATAAATAAGTTGTAATAGGATTTTTATCATTGTGATGCTTTGGCCAGTGACATTTCTAGGGTCAAGCTGAGTTTGTGTCACTGATAGTTACAAAAATGTTTTAAAAGTTTGTTATAATATCTTCCAATCTATGCAGATCTAACATGGATCTTGGTGAGAGACAATATAATATAGAATTCCAGATTGTAATTTGTATTGCCACTTTCCACAACTGCAACCACATGTTAACCACAGTATCCTTCCTGTTATTTGTGGAAGAAAAAAAAAAAAAAAAAAAAACAAAAACACACAACCAAAAAGAATACCCAGCAACTAATACAATAGTTTGTTTTCCAAGGGAAGGAAAAAAACCTCCAACACTGAGTATTTTTTGTGGGCCCCAGATCCAGTGTTCTTTTCTGATTCTGTAAAGACACTGAACTATGCAGCATACCTTCTGTCCAGCTGTACCTACCAATAAAAGAAGTGAGATCAACTTTGTTCACAGAAAACAAGAACCTTACTGTGTGGGTTGCACAGCACTTTCACTGTTTAGATGGTAAAAGAAAATTACTGTAATTGTTTATGACGTGTATCAAAACCTGCTCAGCCTGAAGTAAATGACAGAAGTCTCACTTGTTTCAATGGTTGTAGTTTTGGCTCATTCCTTAGTACTGGGAGTTCTCCACAACAAATGTACAAAACAGATATTCTGCTGTAAAATACTTACTTATTTTCTCTCTACAAAACTGATTGGATTTTTGTTCTGTGTTTTCCTAGAAAGAAGGAACAAGGCATGTCATTTTTTTTCTACAATTATTTCCCCTCAGTTTCACTAAAGCCTAGATGCTGATCAAGAAAACACCCCTGTGAAGGCCATGAGGCTGTGGATCTGCTTCACCTGAGCTTGTATCAGGTCCTTGGACTAATCTCACAGACTTGCAATCCCAGCAGTTTGCAAGATGTTCTCCTGTCTCCCTAACCCCATTTTGAATTTTGCAAAAGACCTCCTCCAGGGCCAGGTCCCTCCTAGCCTGGTGTCTCTCCTTTGCAGCCTAGGCTGCAAAGGGCACTGATGCCAGGCTGCAGAGCTGGAGCTGCTGCACCCGTTTCTCTGGAGCTGTCAGGGCTGAGGAGGGGCTGACCCCACTTCACCACACAGATGTAGGAAGTAATCACTGCTGTCTAAGCACAGAAGCAGCTTCCTTTTCCCACGGTGGTGGGAGGAAACCAGAGATCTAAACTGTCACACTCAGACTCACTCATTGTTATGTGCTTGGACAAGAACATATTTATAATTCTTTCTGTGATATTGTTTTATCTGTAAGCTAGGATTTTCCTAGCCTAATACTCAGCAATGTCAATTAAGACCCACAGAAAAGTACTCAGGATAATGAAAACTTGCAGAGCTGCAGCACAGTAAATCTGTGCTGCGGGTTCAAGTAAGGGTAAGGGGGAGACAAGAGAAAGCCTGTAAAACTCACCAACATTTAAAAGAAAATATTCTGACTGAAGCACTGTATTTCCACCAGGAAGAACTTCACGTAATGAAACAACGATATTGAAGTTAACAGAGACAAGACTGTTAAAAATAGGATGAGGAGAAAAGACCTTATGAAGTCGATGCTGTTTTGCAACTTTATTCATTGTTCCCACAGCCAGGCAGGGGCAAGTCTTTGCCAGGGGGGCGGTCATGGGGTGGGGGGCAAGGAGGACAGTGGCAGAGAAGCTGGGGTGTGGTGGCTGCAAGCCTCTGAGATGTCAGTCTGGTGTGCAGCAAGCCCACGGCATGGCACATGTGTCTGGCCCTTGGGTGAGGGAGCTTTGAGCAACACAGATACACGCAGCACACTGGGGCTGCCCCTCTGCTTAAGGGAGACACTGAGGTGAGAAATAAGGCAGATACGCATCTCAGATGTTTCCTGCTGTCGGTCATACTGATGCAGACACAAACATGTTGATATCACTTGCAAATTCAGCACTGTACGTAGATGAAATGAAACATGTCCTCATTAGCAGCACCTCCTTTAAACAACACACATCTTTGTTTTTAATTGCCTGTAATATGGAAAACTATTTTCATGCTTCCAAGAGAGTATTCCAATCAGTGGAAAATAAAATGAACAAAGGATGAAGAAACCCCAAAATGAACTATGAAACAATAGCTTTAGCCCTATTTCTTCTTAGAAAATGCAATGTTCAGGCACTTTAAAAAGATTTCTCAGGATAGGTTCACTGGAAAATTATCCAAGAGTTTTTCAGCACTGACGCAACATAACTTATCATTGTTAGGACTCAGGGGACGGTTCTTCTTGACAGGGCCTTTCATGAAGTCAACAAATCAGTTTAAAACAAGCCATAAATTATATGTGGCTGCCCATCAGCTTAGCCAGAGTGTTCTCTCAGTGCTGTCGTAAGTGTCGGGGAAAGAGGATAATAACATGGTCCAATGTTTAGCTTTTAGGGGACATTTTGTTCCTAATTTAAAAACAAAGCATGCCCATGGCATTGACTCTGATGCATAAACTTTTGTTAGAACAGCAATCAAGATGTTCACAGACTTCCCTACAAATAAATACACCCGTTCTGGATCCTAAGTAATAGCTTAATAAATAATGGATTTGGTACAGGTCTCCACCGTGAGTGCCTGCCACTCATTGCTAAATTAGGGAACTGTCAGCATCATCATCTCCCCGATCTCGCCTCCTGTAACAGTACGTGGAGAGAGGGGTGGTTTCTGATAGCTACGATCCAAGCCTTATATAGCTCTCTAGATTATTATTAACATTCTGAATTGCAGCCAGAATGAACTGAAAAGACAATACTGTCTACTTACAGTCTGCTGAGTTAGCAGCTGAAGCTTCAGCCAGTGCAGCCAAACAAGTAATCACGCGCAGACGTCATTACCCTCGGAAGTATTCAGTTACTTGTTTTATATAGATTTTCCCATCAGTGTCCAAGCTGGGGTGTTGCATAGAGGCATTAAAGCATGCCCATAAGTCCCCTTGAAGTTAGAGGCCAGGATAGTGAGGGTGGCTGTGGGAAGACCATAGTTACAGAGATGTGGGTACATGATATGTAGAAAGAAAATTGGTGAATTCTCCAGGGACTTCAGAAGCAATTCTGGACCTGGAAGTACCTTTCTTCAGCATGGACACGTTTCCTTGGGAAGAGAAGGCAGCCAGCCCTTCAGAGCCTTCCTGCAACTTCACTTTCACCTTGTCTGAATTACTGTCAGTTCCTGCTCCTTTTCCAGGCCTTCGCTTCATCTTGGGAAAACAAATTCCACAGAAGAGGGACAGAGAGTCACCAAACTGTGACTGAAGCCCCGGAAAAGTCCTTTGTGGCAGAAAGTCAATTCCTTTCTGTTCTTCGTGACAGGCAGGAAAAGCACTATCCACAACGGTCAGTCTGCCCTGTCAGGATGCAAGACTGGCAAAACCTCCTGTGGCATCACATACCAGAGCAAGCTTTTACGTTCGCAATTCTACCAACAGCCTTAAGGAAAAGGTAAATTGAATTCCCTGCCTCAGAGGGAATTTGCTTCCCCTTTAGTCAATTTAAATAATGTGTGCCAGACATTACTTTTGGCCTTTAGACTCATAAAAGTCTGTCTGAAGTCTGTTATGACTTCATTTTTCTTTGTCTCTGAAACACAGAAAAGAGCACCAACTTCTGATCCTTTGGAAAAAAAAAAAAACAAACCCAAACATTTGCGAGTGTGAATTAGTAACTGTTTTCAGACCTATGTTTTTCTAACTCTAGCATGTTGCTTTGTAATCCACTACACGGTGAATCATACTCTGCAATGAAGTCATGACAGTCTTTGACATCATCATCCTATATTGGAAGAGAAGTTTTGTGGCGGCTTTGTTTACCTTTTGACAGAAGACTTTTAATTAACGCAAAAGTTAATTGTACTACTTCTGCGGCAGTCCCTGG